GGATTCTGTGGCCCCTGTTGCTAATGCATCGCAGTTCAACTTCTTCCTCTGCAGCCTGTACGCTCTCACAGGTGTTTCTGAGAGTACTCCCAATAAACCTCAGGCATATATATAAATCCATCTCAGAGTCACTTCCCAGGAGCCCAACATGGCCGTGTGATTTTTAAAAAGCAGAATTTTCTGGGGTTATCTTCCATGCCTATAGTTAGTATTGCCCACAAACTGGTCTGGAACTACCACCACCACCAATCACCCCGCCCCAACTCTACTTCCAGGAGAAAGAATGTTCTGAAATTATGTATCTTCCTCCCACCTTGCTGGCTCAGCCCAATAAGGGAAAGACAAAGGGTTACATTTACTCATTTTTTAATATTTTGATTGATTTCAGAGAGGAAGGGAGAAGGAGAGGTAGAAACATCAATGAGAGAATCATTGATTGGGGGCCTCCTGCACACCCCCTACTAGAGATTGAGCCGCATGTGCCCCGACCGGGAATTGAACCATGACCTCCTGGTTCATAGGTCGATGCTCCTCCACTGAGCCACTGTGGCCAGGTGACCTTTATAAGTACTTCTTTCTATTTTCTACGTCTGGTCTGGGCCAATTCCACAAAAATGGAAATCAACTTTTTCTCTTTCTTTGTGGTCATAAGAATATAATAATCATAGCGACCACTCTGAAAAAATGTGCTGAGCCCTTGCTTATTTTCTGCTTCAGTAATCTTCGCTGAACAGCAATCCTGTTCTACATTAATAATATTTGTTTTACTTGGGGGCCCTAAAATTCTTTATCTAATATTCATTGTGCACCTGGTCTCATCTTTACTTTTCTGTAGCTGTTTATGAAAACAAGCTGGCTCAAGAGATCATGGGCTGAAAAGAAACAACATAATTCTAACATTTTTAGAGTTTTTCTGTGAAGCAAAATAAACACTGTGAGGCCCATTTCTCCAAAGGCTCTCTTCCTACATGACAGAATCCTAGATAATATAAGCTTATGAAATGATTGCCTCAAGTTCCTCACTGAATTCTGCAGTACTATGGTAATAGAAAGTCTTAAAAGAAAATATTGGGTGTTCTTAGTGCCATATCATGAGCAGGTCTGCTAAAACATCAAGGACACGTGCAACCATCTCATTTCTGTCTATAAACTGCTATCAGCTAGGCTAAATATTGATTAATCAAAACTCCCAGGATTAGAAACCAAGTATAGAAAAAGAGACAAAAGTCCCACCTCTCCCCTCCAATTTTTCAACTGTTTATTATTGGATTTAAAATTTATTTCAAGGATATATATACACTAGTTTGATCAGCTACTAATAAATTTTGGTATCCCTTTATTTTTTGTACTCTGTGTTCAATACTTAGCTTTGGAAGTTTTGCCAAGTTCTTCATCTTCCATCATGCTTGATATAAGTTGCCCTTTTAGCTTTCTTTCTGTGGGTATGTTTTGTAGGACTCTTCTGTTTTAGGTTTTTGGTGGGTTGTTTTTTTTTTTCATAACTGTGCTGCTTACATCCCACAACATGACCTTCCCATAATTCCCTCCAGTAAACAAGATTCTAGCAGAAAGCAGACCTGGGACATCCCCAAAGTGTGACTCTTACATCCCAGTTCCTGTTCACATGACTCCCATCACCATCTTCTTCACCATAACTAAAAATATTGCCACGTGATGCCACAGACACAGAATGGGCTAGAGTAGGGTTTAAAGCTGACCAATCCCAGTGAATTCTTTGTATCTGTGTCTTCAATGATGCTGAGACAGGCAAAACTACAATTACATAGAATCACTCAATTAAATTTGCACTTTTTGCAATCTACAGTAGGTCAGTTCCAAAACTCTGCAAGGACTGTAGGGAATCAAATAAGAACACCCAAATGTAATGGCAGTCCAAATGTAAATCCTTTCCTGGCAAAGATTCCCACAGCAAAATAGAATCCAGTTTTCTTGAGAATGAAGGAACTCTGGTATGGGAGAACACAATTTCTCTAAAGGCCAACGTGCTGTCTTTGGAGACATACTACAGCCCCCAAAAAAAGAAAAAACAAAGAGCATGTATTCTCTGTCCTTAAGAACCAAGATCTTATGACCATCCATTATACCAGCGTGGCCTTGCCAAATCCTCCAAAGAAGCTACTGACAGAGATTTCGAGAGAATTCACAACCCCAAGAATATGCAGTTTTCAAGGATTTTATTCTAAACATTTGAGAATGCCATGCTGCTATTGCTTTCATTTTCCCAGGAAAAAATATTATAGAGTATGAATAATGATCAATATTCTTAAGAATGTCTATGAATGTCAAAAGGGGTGTAGAATCATAGAATTCAGCATTCCCAGAGCCCGTTTATCCACAAAACTAAACAGTGTTGCCTTGTAAGGATAAGTTTTCTTTTTTTCTTGTTCTCGAAAGTAGGTGGCCGACTACATGATAGATTTCAGAAGCATCAGGAAGTCTCCCTTTCCCCAAACATCTTTTTTTCTTTATTACTATGATTTCTTAAATAGGAAAACAACATTAATTTTAAAAATAACTAAAGAGTAAGTAGGAAAACAAATATCTTTTGAGCTCAACTATATGCCAGAACTAGAACTGGAACACTTTCATAAATTACCTCATTTAATTTGTTAAGAGTAACAAATGTCAAGTGATTTGGACACAGTTTCTGAGGCTTCCAGCATCTCATTCCTTTATTCATTCATTTATTCAACAGTGTTTATTTAACAATTCCTCTGAACTAGGGATCATGTAAGATGAACTCAGAAGTGGGGATAAATCACAAGGATCAGAGTGCAAAATATCATTAATTTAGCCAATAATGCTAGCTCCCTCTGAAGTTTAGTCAGAACACTATGTAGAGAATAATCAATAGGTAGAAAGAAAATTTAGTAAAAAAAAAAAAAAAAAAAAAGCAATGATAAACAATGATATCATGAGATGAAGTGTTTGAGCCAGACAAGAAAGTATTGCTATTTCCAGCTGGATTCTCAGTCCCATTCACATCATAGTCTTACTGTACTGCTCCCTTTCTATATGATGATCTGATAATTGTCTCTATTTATAACAAACTCAAAATCAGAATTAACAAAATGCATTAAAGACAGAATTTCCTATTTCTACGTTAGATGAAAAACATGATATTAAAAATGTAAATGATTTGCCTAAGATCATACAACTGGGAATGTTGCAATATTGAAATGTTAACACCACCCTAGTAGAAAGTACCCGATACATGCTGCCTCTTTAAGAGTACAAAACCAACATGCCTTGAATAAAGAAAGTAACTCAAAAGTTACCAAGTAAAGGACTGATATCCTAACTTTCGGTGAGTACTGAGTTTGATAGTGGGAAGGAAACAACAGGAAGTGTTGACCATATACAGTAATTTTTCTCAATTCCCAAATTTGCTTCTCACTATACTAAAAACTATGGTTTCATATTCTTGCTTGAAGGTGAATGATCTATAGGTTGTGAGGTTTTGAGTCCACACAGAGTTCTGGGATCTTAATGGAACATTTTTGTAATGAAAGAACAACTTCCATTGCAATTAATTGCATTTTTAACCAATTGATTCTGCAGTGACAAATCTAGTCAAGAAGTCCAGTAGCCATCTGTTCTGATATGATATTTCTGCAGAAAAGTCATCTTTTCTTAGAGAATCTTAGAGCTGGGAGTCACTTTAAAGATCATTTAATTTAGCTCTTTGGAGAGCAGTGTTCAATAGATTCTGTGAGATTTACTGAGAAGCGTTAGGTTTTTTTCTGAAGTTATTGATTAGACCCAGAATGAACACAGTTGAAACTGCATAACAACCTCAAAACTTAGTGGCTTAAAACATCAACTTATCTTCCATGGTTCTCTGAATTGACCTGGCTCAGTTTTGCAGTTCTTGCTTGGGATTTTTCACACGCTTTGTCAAATAGCAGCTGAAGCTGGAGAAGTCTGAAAGTTCAACTGACTCACAGTCCATGGCAGCTGTTGGCTGGAAGGGTAATTGAGTTTCTGATTAGAGAAATGGGCACATGTCTTCGACATGCAGTATAGCCTTCTGACTGCATGGTGCTTGAGTCCCAGAGAGGGAGCACCGATGAGTAAGCCTTCCAGAGACACAGGGAAGAAGTTTCAAGGTATTATGATTTGACCTGGTACATCCCAGAACATTGAATCACCACCATCTGTTGTTCAAGTAAGTCACTAAACCCATACTACATCCGTGAGAAGTGCAATTATATTCTACCTTTAATGTGAAAGGCAACCAACATGTGCACGTGAGAAGGAAAGAAATTGTTGGTGGACATCTTTGAAGAATATCGACCAAACATCTTTCCTTTGTATAGAGTTAGATTAGACAAAGTTTTATTTGGCAGTTTTACTGTCTTGAGTTTTCTCCTTTTTATCCCTCCTGTGAGCATTGAAAGGTATGTTTTTGGATAGAAAATAATAGATCAAGAATAGTTTTATTGCTTGATTGACATTGTTCAAGTAATATCAGTTCTGGACCTAATCAATAATTAGATTAATTAAAATGAGCTTAATTCTTCTCACTGAATCTGATAGCATCTACTGAGTTCTTTTCTCTAAAGAGCTCAAGTAAATGGTCTTGAAAATCCTTTACAATTAAAAAATACTGTAACATAGGATGATTTTCTGCAGAAATACCTGCCTCTACCTAGTCAACATCAGATCATTAAATAGAAAAAAAATGTCATTATTAGAAGTTTCATCACATTTCTTGATAAATAACTAACTCATTATATAATGAAATTGCATTGTAGGAAATCAGATTTTGAATGAAGAAGTAGAGAATTTCTACTATCATTCCATCAGTATTGTCATTTAGTATATATCTGCCTGAGTTTTCACTGCCTTCAACAGGACATGAAATGTAGTTACCACTCAGTAAATGTGTCTTGAATCTTAAATGTTTGAAAGAATGCATGAGTGCACGACACCACTAGCACGTCTAAAATAGCACAAGGATGCTATTTCCACAACTCCCAGGAAATGAATGCAAATAGATAATACTAACGTATATGAAATTTATGTGGCATAGTGCAACTAGATTTATAATTTCCGATCTCTCATGCTCATAATCCAGGCCCCAGGAACCATTTTTCCATTGTGTCCCAAAGATTCAACAAAAATCCGAATGCCTTGAGTTGAGTAATGAAGTTACAGACTCAGTAGGTAATGAAAAATCAAATCTCTGATATAAATCTTTCAAAGATCTGTCTAAGATATGATTTCCATTTTGATCCTGTTTCTGGACAGAAAAATCAGCCCCTGTCTGTATCTGCAAGGAAGCAGATGCAAAGGCCACGTCACTTGAGTTGGTTCAATGCCCTGGCATGTGTGCTTCCAAGCTGATTATGACTGTTCCGGGTAACAGGCATGGTGGTTCCAGCTCATGTCCACACGGCCTGGAGGCCCATGTGCTCCGACACTTTTTGAAACAGTGTTGCTAAAATCCCAACACTGCTTCTCCTAAGAAACTGCAATGGATGCAGATATGAGAGCACAACTTCAAATATGGTAGCCTGGGAACAAGCGCACTGCTACCTATTGTCAGAATCAGAGTGGTTTGGCTTTGCTCCAAGCTGTGCCCTTCACACACACCAATATTGTTATAGAGAAGCTTTGTAAACAGAGAAGTAGACAAGTTCCTTAGGTGATAGATCTTTTCTCCCTTCCTGTATAAGAAAATCCCTGCAACAAGTAATGTGTTGTTTTTTTTAAATATCAATGTGCCTTTTTATCTTTGTGTTTTCTTATTTATGACTTTTCATTTACGCCTCACCCAGTGGTATGCGTCCGACAGCAATTACAATGTGACCGCAAACAATTAAGATTTGGCTTCTCCTATCTCAGTTGAATTTTAAAGTCTACATCAATGGTGAAGACTGGAATTATCTTTAAAAGAGGGGGTTGTGTTCATTTTCTTATCATCTTTCTTTCATTTGAAATATGAAGAGGTAATTCTTACAATTTGATCACAGAATTTTACAAAATAGAATTCTTTCCCAATCAGGAAGAAAAAAAACGTAGTGGAAGTTCTGCCCAGTTCTGACAGATTGAGAAGAGTGAAAGAGGAGAGAGAGTTAAGGGAATGAGAAACTTGCCCAAACCTTGCCTGTCCAGGCCAAAATTATAAAGAAAAAAATGAAGTATATGTGTTGGGAGGAAGGGAATCCTCAGAGTAGACAGGCCTCTATTTCACTACTTATTTGGACTCAAGGAAAAGAAAGGTATCCCTATAACTTTATAAGAAAATTCCAAAAGAGTCAGCCAACAGGGAGCAATGACATGGTCAGATAAAGAGGGAAATTAGTGCTCAAGAGCTGCCATTAGCTCCAAAGTGACAGAAATAATCAAAAGGTCATGCATGTCACCTATGAGTGGGGGAGTGTGGTAGACAGCTTCTAAGGTGGGTCCTGTGATACCCACTTCTTGGTATGCATATCCTGGTAGAATCTCCTCCTTTTGGGTAACTTGAATCTAACCAAGAGAATGGAGTAATCCTAAGGGAATGGCACATCTGTGATTAGGTGTCTAACACTGTGATTTCTGTCTTGCTAACGGACTCTCTCTGTTGCTTTCTCAGTTTGCACACTTTACCGAAGAGGCTAACTTAGCTGTAATGAGGAAGCTAAAGGTAGCTGTAGCTATCTGCCTAGGTTGCAACACCAGAATACCAGAGATTGAGTGTCTTAAGTAACAGAAAATTATTTTCTTACAGTTCTGGAGACTGGAGGTCTAAGTTCTAGGTGCCTTCAGGGTTGGTTTCTGGCGAGACCTCTCTCCTTGTGTTGCAGATGGTCACCATCTCACTGTGTTCTCACATGGTCTTCCTCTGTGCACATGTGGGGGGAGAGGAGGAAAGAAAAAGAGAGAGAGAGATCTTTGGTGTCTCTTTCTCTTCTTATAAGGAAACCAGTCTTATTAGATTGGAGATCCACCACAATTACCTCCTTTAACCTTAATTATTTTCTTAAAAGCCCCATCTCCAAGTGCATACTGGGGATTTGGGCTTCAATATATGAATTGGGAGTAAGGGCACAATTCAGCCTATAACAGTAGCCTCTGGGCAAAAGCCAGCGAGGATCTGAGGTCATCAGTCCAATAGCTAATAAAGATCTAAATGCTGCCAACAACCAATGTGTGGCCTCAGACGCAGATCCTTTCCGAGGTGAGAAAGCAGACCCTGGGCCACCACCTTGATTACAGACTCAAGAGTAACCGTGAAGCAGAGGATAGAGGTCAGTCATGCCAAGACTCTTGAGCAACAGAAACTGCAAGATGATAAATTTGTATTGTTTTAAACCACTCAGTTTTGTGCTAATTTGTTAGGCAGCAATAGATGGCTAATATAGGGCAGTAGATGTTCTGAGAGCCAGCAGCTCACCTGCTGAGGCCAGGAATCAGGCAACTATATAGCACAGGAATAGTGGTGTCGGTGAGAGGAAACCACCTCTCCCTCCTCAGTGTGTTATGAAAGCAGAGAAGTTTAAGTGCAGTTGAGAAAGTGGGTTCAGCCCCGCTGGTGTGGCTCAGCGGTTGAGCATCCACCTATGAACCAGGAGGTGACGGTTTGATTCCTGGTCAGGGACATGCCCAGGTTGGGGGCTCAATCCCCAGTCGGGGGTGTGCAGGAAGCAGCCTATCAATATTACTCTCTCATAGATGTTCCTATCTTTCTCTCCCTCTCCCTTCCTTTCTCTCTAAAAAAAATCAATAAAAACATATTTTTTAAAAAGAGCATGGGTTCTAAAGTCAGACAAATTTGAGCTCTTCTCCCTCTGAACCTTACCAGCAGTGTACATGCAAAGTGGTGAGTGAAAAACACAGTGGCTTAATATCACAAATGAGTATTCCAAATGTGCTGAGAAATAAATGACATACCAAGAATAAACTATTTAGCATATAAAAAGTGTTTGATTGACATTAGCTATTATTGTTAAGATACAACTAGGGAGGGAGAGTAGGCCTGGTGCTTACAACACATATTGAGTTTATGTGCCAAGAAATTTGCTATGCTGTACGTATAATATGCTATGTAAAACTCTAGTATATAAAGTAGATATGGTCTTGCATCCTCTACATGATGACTCTGCAGCCACTGCACAATTCTCCTAAATGGTTACTATTAGCCTCATTTTTGGAACAGGTATTACAATTTCAGAAATTGTAAGTAATTGACTACAGTCATATGGATCCCGTGGGAATTTGGATCTAGGATTATGGGTCTTGGGAACCTTGGCCCTTTTTGTTGTATCATGTCTGAAAAATGATGATAAAACCCTACCAAACAACAACAACAGAATCTGTGGAGGTTACTCAGTACACTGCAGAGCTGTGTGCCAACCTCTTGCAAAACAGAAAATATAATGACAATAGGACACTCGATGGTTCAGACTGTTTTCAATTTGGATTGAATCCTTTTTGCTTTCATTTTGGCTAATGTGATGGCCACATGAGAAAGAGATTATCATTGGCTGATTTAAAATGACTTTATTCAATTTATTCAATTTACTTCACAAAAGAGAGAAGTAGGTTAATATTTCCCATCACTTATGAACAAAATAGGGTCATCAACCTTTGCATTGCATTGATTTGATTTTTGTTCACATCTTTCTCACATACTCTGTTAGTTGCAGCTGGATAATTTCTGCTTCCTGAAGCTGATCAAACGTACATTGGGGAAGATGCTTTCTGAGGCAGAAATCAGAAACATGAAACCTTTTTCTTTCATATTAATAAGACCAGAAGTGGCTACTGAAATTGGCATGCTAACCTTCCATTTCCATGCACCCTAGGGAACAAACCACACAGCTATGTGTATATGCTTCTTAGGCTTTCTCAATATGCTCTAAAGGTTGCATCTGGAAAATACAATGGTCAGGTTCTATAAGAACATCAGTGAACTGTCAGGCACATCCCACAAAGATGACAGGAAGACAAAAAAAAAAAAAAAAAAAAAAACGAGACCAGGGAGAAAAACACTAGATAAATAATGTCAGAGCCAAACGTGTTAAATAAGAAGAAGCTAGGAGCGAACAAGGAAAATGACAAACTATCCCAGTGAAGACACTTTCCGATGCTGTGTTTCTATTAAAGGCAGAAAATTGCCTGCTGAAATGACTACCCAAAAAAGGAGATGAAAGAATTTCAAGGGATGCTTTGTTCTTCCCAGTCATTTGTTATCACTCCAAAATTCCAGTAAATATATTCAAGGATCTATTGGCCATGAATTCAGCCTTTAGATCCCTTGGGGGGTGGGAGGGTATTTGACATACAAAGTGATCAATTACGGTGAATGAAAAGCAGAGTGGCCTCAGCAATTCTCCGGTGCTCTGCTGGTTTCTTTCAGTCTTTCCAGGTTTAGCTGTTGTGGTGGGGCTTTTTCTTTGGGGTAGTTTTTTTGTTTTGTTTTTTTCCACTCTGCATCTTTTCTCTTTTCTTGTTCTTTATTGAGTTTAATTACAGTTATTGTTCATGGGCTATTGAGCTTAAAAATCATTTGTTGTCTTGTATATTTACCCTGTACTTGATTCATTCACAGCTGTTCATCACTGCCATGCCGTTCAGACTGGGGAGTGAAATCGCTTATCTCCACAGAGCAAAGAAAGCAGTTTCATTTATTCAAGGTCTGTAAAGAGAGAATAATAAAACTATTACAGTGGTAATTGTTCCATTCAATTTATTTAAATTTTCTTTTATGTACCAATAGTATGGCATATTTTTTATGACACCCCATTAACGATGGTCAGCAATTCCTGGAGATAGCGGGAAGAATGAAGCTGCACTTTTTCTAAAAGAGTGGGTCTACATCTGTTGGCCTCCTGTGGAGATATATTGGCATCTCTGCCTCAGCACTGATATCAATGGACTAGCTGCACCCTGTAGGCATAATGTGAATCATATCAAATAAGCTTTCTTGCCTTAAGAATTTTGCTGGAGCCCTGGCTGTTGTGTCTCAGTTAGTTGTGCATGACCCCATGCACCAAGAGGTTGCAACTTCAATTCCTGGTTGGAGCACATGCTTGGGTTGCAGGTTTGATCCCAAGTAGGGGGCGTGGAGGAGGGACAAAGGGGCCAAATGGTGTTTCTACCACTGATGTTTCTCTCGTCCTCTCCCTCTCCTTTCTAAATTCAATAAAAAAAATTTTTTAAGAATTTTGGTGGAGCCCTAACCAGTTGGGCTCAGTGGATAGAGTGTCAGCCTGAGGACTCAAGGGTCCCAGGTTCGATTCTGGTCAAGGGCATGTACCTTGGTTGCGGGCACGTCCCCAGTAGGGGGGGGTGTAGGAGGCAGCTGATCAATGTTTCTAACTCTCTACCCCTCTCCCTTCCTCTCTATAAAAAAATCAATAAAATGTATTTTAAAAAATTTGCTGGAGTGCCTAGCATTTCCACATTTTAACTTCCTTCTTTGTGTGAAGATATTGTCTTGAAGTGATAATTTTTATATTGTAAGATGTTACATAGGAGAAGCAATATATTCACTCTCCCAGCATTTGGAATTTGCTTATGAAATTACAGAGTTGTAAACTTCCTCCTTTCAGGATGAAGCAACTGTTCTCAAGCACTGATTAGTAGTCTGTGAGAGCAGAGTTTCCCCTGAGCTGCCCAGAGCATTCTTCTTAAGGTTTGGCTTGCCAACTTCCTCTCCTTACCAGGAAGGCCACCAGCTAATCCATCCCTACAATACACAGTTTGAAGGTTGTTATTGAAAAAATATTTAAAAGAATCATAATATAGATCACCTACTGTAACTTTTCTTCATTTAGTTGTGAAAAAGCATGAGACTTAGAGGTTTTAAATGAATTGAAGGCTTGGTCAAATTTTCATGGCTTATTAAAAACTTCAAGAAAGAAAATATATAGAAAGAATTAACTGTTAATATGGCATTTATCTTGGAAGCATGTGCCAATTCAACATGGCCCACGCCATGTTGGGGCTTTGTTGGGACAAAAGTCAAAATCTGAGGTCCTAAATAAAAACATGGAAGTTTGAATCACAGACCATAAACATAAATTATACAGAAGAGTAAATGTGTTTATATAATTTTTTAAAAAGTGGTTATAAAAAGTAATTTAAAGACGTAAAGGCAATAAAACACCAATGGGCCAATTTGATAAACAAACAGAATTTCTTAGAATGAGAAGAGTGCAAAAATGCAATGAATTGGCTAAACAGCAAATTAGATGCAAATCAAGAGTTTGTTAGTAAACTGGAATATAGAAATAATCATGTTCAAAGAATGTAACAGAAGGAAAAATGATAGAAAATAGGAAAGTTGGGAAACAAGAAGGAGAAAGGAGCAAGTCTATCTATTGCATGACTAATTGAAATTACAGAGAGGAGAGAGAAAAGGGGGAAGGGAAATATTTGAAGAGATATATAGAGTTTTAAAGACATAAATGTTAAGGTTAAGGAAATGCAATGACTATCTAACTTTATAAATACCGAAAAAAAGAAACCTACATTTATTTGTACCATAATAGAACTACAGAATACTAAAGAAAAAGAAACGGCCTTAAAATAGTCAAAGACATAAAATAGTAAAACTATAAATATCTGGCAATTTTACCACTAACTTCATACTAAATGCTAGAAAGCAGTGGAGTATATCTTCAAAATGCAATCCAGAACAATATACCTATCGAAAGTTTCTTTCAAGAATAGTGGAAAATAAAGACAATTTTAAACATAAAAATTAGTTGAGAGCCCTGGCCAGTTTGTCTCAGTGGATGGAGCATTGGCCTGCAGACTGAAAGGTCCTGGGTTCGATTCCAGTTGGGGGCACGTGTCCAGATTGCGGGTTAGGTCCCCAGTGGAGAGCGTGCAGGAGGCAATTGATTGATGAATCTCTCTCTCATCATTGATGTTTCTCTCTCTCTTCCTCTCTGAAAGCAATAAAAAATATTTTTTTAAAAAATTAGTTGAGAATGTAGATGACCAATATGGTAGGTAAAATTCCAATAGCATCCATGGAATATGGAAGCTGAGGTGAGTTAGGACTCTGATTTTATTTACTCATTCAACAAATAAATTACAAATTATTGGTTAGTAATCTAGACACTAAAGAAAGAGAAGAAAGGCACAGTCCCTAGACTCAGGGAGTTCAAAATCTAGTAGAAGAGGTCAACGAATAAGTAGGAAATTATAGTATAAGATGAATAACTGCAGTGGCCACATAGAGGAACTGCTAAACCAGTTATAGAGGCCAGTGGAATGACACATAAGCTGAGAACTGAAGTAAGACTAGAAATTAATCAGGCAAAGAGAGAAAGGAAGAGAGAATAAAAGTAAAGTGACCCAGAAACAGGAAGGAGTATGCATAACACACATAATATGAGATGCATGGAAATTTTTAAGAAATTCAGTGATTGATTTTTCAGGGAAAGAACAAGCAAAAGACCAGATTACAGAAAATTAAACAGCAAACAGAAAATAAAGGATCACAATACATATCGATAAACTTAATTCAATGGGGATCCAATGAAGGGTTACTTTTAAACAGGAGGATGACCTATTCTAGATTTGTATGTAAGAAAAATCTGCAGTATGAATATTTCAAGTTTGAGTAAAACTAGAGGCACAATGCATAGGAGGCTATTAAAAAAAACCTAGGTAATAGATGGTATTTTAGGGCAAAGGGGGTGAATGGAAGGTTTTGAAATATACTTAGAAGATACAGCATTAACAAAATCTATACTAATAAAAGGGTAATATGCTAATTAGACCAGATAGACCAGACATCTTCTGGTCGTTCATTCCTCCTTCCGGACAAAGCCATGGTGGTGGGGGCCGAGGCAGAGGCGGTTAGGGGCGATCAGGCTGGCAGGGGCAGGAAGGTAGGGGCGATCAGGCCAGCAGGCAGAGGCAGTTAGGGGTAATCAGGCACACAGGCAGAGGAGTTAGGGGCAATCAGACAGGCAGGCAGGTGAGTGGCTAGGAGGTAGCAGTCCGGATTGTGAGAGGGATGTCCGACTGCCAGGGTCAGGCCTAAACCATAAGTCAGACATCCCCCAAGGGGTCCCGGATTGGAGAGGGTGCAGGTCAGGCTGAGGGACACCTCCCCTCACCCCCGTGCACAAATTTCATGCACTGGGTCTCTAGTAGATAATAAAAAAGGACATATGGGTTTGCCATCATAGTTTATCCTGTGCAAACAATTTTCCTCTCAATTAAGGATTCATGGCGTGCTTTCAGTCAAATCTCCTAGAGTTTATTCATAATGTAGAGAAGTCTTTACCACGAACCATTTGCCAGAGGCGATCTCTTTTATACTACATTAGCATAGGCGATTCCTCCCTTGTGGAATGTTCCTGCAAATCTTATTAATTTACGTGTAGGTAATATTCTCATTTTAGCCATCTCCTGTAATAACATTAATTAGCATCCAAGAACAAGCCCTTGTAGTCTATACAATTTGACTCAGGTTTTTTTGCTGTTTTATTAGCATTTTTGACCTTGCCTCCACAATAGAACTGCTCAATAAAAGAAAAGCACGCTTATCTTCTCAGACCCACTGCCTTCCTCGTATCTGTTCTGAGCACAGCTGTGTGTACCAAGGAGTCAACACTATTCCATTTTTCACTCCTTTTCTATCTGGCTTTTGGGTATTCTATAAAGCATATTGTTCTTCATTCCCAGCTGACTGAATTGTGCTACTCACAAAATCTCTTTGCATTTACCTTGTGCCAGAAATGATGTGCTAGCCAATGTTATAGGTCATTTTGTATCTCTAAAGCAAAAAGAAAGAAATTCTTCTGCTTATGTGCTTAGGAAATAACTTGTCTCAAAGTATGGGCAAAGTCCTTAGGATAAATAGAAACCATAAAGGCAAATAAAAGACACCAGTAAAATGAGGCTTGCCTAAACGTAAGAGCTAGGCTTACCTATATGAGTGTGGAATCACAATAAAGTTGAATGCTGTCTTCATACCCATCTAGTTCTAATGCTCATATATTCAATACTTATTTTTTCAAAATCAAATCCTGTGGTCATAAAACTCCTGCTTGAATAAGTCCCCCAAAAGCATCTTGCTGCTTAATGCTTGATCAGGTATTTAAACAGCCCCTTCTCTCCTTTGCCCACTTAGATGGAGTCCTTGAAGACCAACATACACAAACTTAGCATCCTTCTCCATCTAACCCCAAACAAGGCATCTAATATTTTAAGAGCACCATTCCCATTAGTAGTAAGTGACGTCTGAGATTAGTTGCTTTGTTATCAGCTTACGTATGTGGGGGTCCTTGGCATCAGCTCAAAGCAGCTGAGTACTTCAGAAGTTCAGGATTCCCCTAACATTTCACGTCCTTTTCCAAAGCCATGACTGGGCTTGCCCCTGACTGCTCAAAAAGAGTTCCAGCCCTGGCCGGGTAGCTCAGTTGGTTAGAGCATCATCCCAATATGCCAAGGCTGTGGGTTCGATCTCTGGTCATGGCACATAAAAGAAGCAACCAATGAATGCATAAATCAG